GGTGAACCAATGGAAAAGGAAGACTTTTCAATCTGTCTCTCTCACTGTCCACTCTGCCTGTCAAAAAAAATTACATATGTTTGTGTGTGTCTGTATGTGTGTGTGTGAGTTAAAGAGACATAAAGAGAGGCAGGTAGGCCAGGAGAGACAAACGAGAAAACCTCTTATCCACTGACTGACTCCTCCAAATACCCACAGTAACCAGGGCTGTGTCAAGGCTGAATCCAAGAGCTGGGAATGTACTCCTGTCTTCCCACATATGAATGGCAGAAGCCCAATATCATGAGTTATCACCACTGCCTCCCAACATCTGCGTTACCAAAAATCTGGCATCGGAAACAGCTGCGAATCAAACCAAGCACTCTGAAGTGGGATTAGAGTCTTTATAAATTTTATCCATTTATATAAAGGACTAGATTTCCTTTATTTCATATATCAGGTTTTGTAAATAATTATTTTATTTATTTATAAGGCTAAGTAGAGGGAGAGAGACAGAGACAGAGAGATGTCTTCTCTCTGCTGGTTCACTCCCTAAATGGCCACAATGGCTGGGATTCGGCCAGGCTGAAGCTAGGAGGCAGGTGCTTCTTCCAGGTCTCCTGCCTGGGTTCAAGGCCCAAGCACTTGGGTCTTCTTCTGCAGCTTTCCTATGCAAATTAAAAACAAAAATGAGATTTTGATATGTGATGATCTTTAACAGCCCTTATCTTGACTGTTGAGGAACTTTTTTTTATACTAATTTTTGAACTTTTAATTGTTGGATTAATCCTGTGACTATAATGTTAACTGTAAATAGATCTTAGTAAAAATAATTGGAATAGGAATGGAAGGAGGAAGAAGAGTGGGACCATGGGCAGGAGGAATGGTAGGATGGAAAGTATCACTATGTTCCCAAACCTATATATATGAAATACATTAAATTTGCATACTCTAAATTAAAATTTAAAAATAAGTGTGAGATACAATATTATCATAATAAAGAATAAAAATCATAAAATTGTCACTATATGAGCAGATGCAGAAAAACAACTTGTGAAAATTCAAATTTGTTCATGGGAACTCTCTAAAAGTTGTCACAGAAAGAACATACCTCAACACAATAAAAACCATAAACAATAAAAGCAGAGCTAACATTAAATTCACTGATGAAAAGTTTAAAAAGTCTTTTGTCTAAGATCAGAAATAATACAAATATGTCCATGCTTATCATTTCTTTTCCATGTAATGCTGAAAATCCTAGAGAGAATTATTAGGCAAGAACAAAAATATCTGTATAAGAGGAAGAAGTAAAATTGTTTCTATTTGCCAGTGATAATAATGAATCCAATAAAAAGCTGTTAGAAAATAAATAAATTCAGGAAATCTCAAGTTCTAAAATCAATATAAATATCATTAGTGTTTCTACAGACTAATAATATGTTATCTGGGAAAGAAATTAAGAAAATCATCCCATATATAGGAGCATGAAGAAATAATGTTTTAGGAAATAATGTATCCACATAGGTGAATATTTTATACACTAAAATTATAATACATTGATGAAATAAAGAAGATACAAATAAATTTAAAAAGTCTCTCATAATAAATTGGAGTAATATTATTAAAATAGGCATATGACCCAAAGCAATCTATGCATTCAGTTCAATTCCTATAAAAATAAAAACAATCTTTTATTCAGAAATAAAAAAAATTCTAAAATTTCCTTGGGACCAGAAAATATACTACATAGTCATAGTAATCTTGAGCCCAAAGAACAAAACTGAAGGTATCACACTTCTCCCTTGAAAATATATTATAAAGCTATTTTAATTAAACAGTATGACACCAGCATGAAACAGATACATAGGCCAATGGAATAGGATGGAAAGTCCAGAGAAAATATCCAAGGATTTAAGTCAACTTATTTTTGACAGACGTATCAAGGAAGCACAATGTGGATAAGATAGTCTCATGATAAATGGTTTTGGGGAAACTGTAAATGCAAATATAGAAGAATGAAATTAGTCTCTTTTCCATGTCATATACAAAAATCAACTAAAAGTTGATGACACACTTAAATGCAATACCCAAAACTATAAATCTACTGTAAGAAAACACATGGTGGAAGCTTTACTCTTCTGAGCAGTACTTTCTTGGATAGGACTCTAAATCTGCAGACACCAAAAGCAGGGATGGACAAATGGGATTGTGCAGTTGGTGAGAATGTAAAGTAGGACATCAGTCATCATGGAAAACAAAGCAATGAGAACAGAAAACTGTCAAATAATCCACCAACTGTGTTCCTGGATATATATACAAAAGAACTAAAATCATTATATTAAAGGGATAGCCCCACTCCCCTGCTCATTTCAGCACTGTTAACAACAACCAACATAAAGAAGTTACTTAAGTATCAATAAAAGGATGAATAATTAAAATAATTAAAATATCTATGTGTGTATATATATGTAATGAAATACTAGTTAGCTTTAATAAAGAAAAGAATTCCACAATTTTCAGAAACATAGGTGAAATTACAGGACATTATATTGTGAAATAAGCTGAATAGACAAAGACAAATACTGTATTATCTCATGAATATGTGGAATTAAAAAATCTCACAGAAACAGAGAGTAGAAAGGTGGTTACCAGAGGCTAGGGTATGGGGCAGGATGGGGAAAGGAAAAATGTTGACCAAAAGGTACAAATTTTCAGTTAGTCAGGAGGATATGTTATAGTAATCTATGAAACCACTTGTTTGCCACAATTAATAATGCATTGTGTATCTAAAATTGCTAAAAGAGTAGTTTTTTACCATAACCAAAGATAATTTGGTAATTAGCATGATTAAATCTTTCTACAAACATACATACATTTTAAAGGTAACATCGGGGGCTAGTGCTGTGGCATAGCAGACTAAGCATCCACTTGCAGAACCAGTATCCCGCATGGGTGCAAGTGCATGGGCTGGCTGCTCCTCTTCCGATACAGCTCTCTGTTTATGGCCTGGGCAAGCAGCAGATGGTGGCTCAAGTGCTTGGGCCCCTGCATCTATGTGGGAGAACCAGAAGAAGCTCCTGGCTCCTCGATTCTGATTGGCTCAGCTCCGGCCATTGCTGCCACTTGAGGGGTGAACCAGGATGCTGAGCTGTGTAGACGCTGGCTCCTGATTTCAGACAACAGTCATCAGGGATCCAAGAACTGCTTCTGGAGGCCCAGGATGGGTGGAATTGTTTGGCCAAAGAGAGGGCACAGGTTACAGCAACCAAGACCTGGCCCTGGGCTGCTGCAGAAAATCAGCTGGAGCAGCAAGGGCCAAGGGAAAAGGCCAGTGCACACTGTGGGGACAGCAAGATGCAGCATGCGACACAGGGATCTGGTGCCGGGAGCTTTTCAGGTATCTTAGGATCAAGGCCGGGGTGGGGGCTGCAGAGGCTGAAGGACCTGGAGCTGCAGCAGGAGCAGAGCCAAGCTAAGGCAGCAGGTTGGGGATCACAACTTTCTCAGGCTCAGGCAGCTCCAGTATCAGCCTGGAAAACCAATATGGAACTACGCTCAGAGCTGTCTGACTCACTGTGCACACTGCAGCCTGAGGGCACACCCCTGGAGATCATTGCCAGTGCTTCCAGAGGAGAGACAAGTGGAAATCAAAGTACAAAGTGAAACTCCTGGAGAACTGGGCATCCTAGAGACCCAGCTAGAGCAGTATTGCTGTGGGAGCCACCGCCCTTCAATAACAACAATAAAATTTAAAATGAACCACAACTGATGTACACTTAAAAATGAGGATGTGGGCCGGCGCCGCAACTCAATAGGCTAATCCTCCACCTGCGGCGCCAGCACCCTGGGTTCTAGTCCATGTCGTGGTGCCGGATTCTGTCCCAGTTGCCTCTCTTCCAGTCCAGCTCTCTGCTGTGGCCAGGGAGTGCAGTGGAGGATGGCCCAAGTGCTTGGGCCCTGCACCCGCATGGGAAACCAGGAGAAGCACCTGGCTCCTGGCTTTGGATCAGCGTGGTGCACTGGTGGCAGCGTGCTGGCCACAGTCTCTCTCTCTCTCACTGTCCACTCTGCCTGTCAATAAATAAATAAATAAATAAATAAATAAGGATGTGATAAACATTAGAAACCATGGGTTCGGATATCTCAGAGTATTTTATCATGGCTCATTAGACAAAAAAAAATTATTATTCTCAAACAGAAGGGAAAAAAGGCATCTTGGGCCAAATATTAGACAGAATGTAACTGAAGTTTAAAGCCTTTAACAAAGAACTATGATATTTTGGCAAAAAGTAAGGAAATATTGTACAAAAACACAGCAAACAAGAAATCAATGAGGCAAAATGTATTGCAATTGGAAACTCACACATAAGTTATAAAAGATTTCAATTACCCAGGTATGTTGGCTATATTAAATAAACAACAAAATAATAAAGATTTGGAGAACATAAACCCAATTTTAAAAATCCATATTTGTAGGTTTAGATGAATTAGATTAAAATGAGAACATCATATTTTTATAACTCACTACATTTAATCTACACTACAACTGAAAGTTTTCTTGCCAGATAAAAATACAGAAAGCAGTTAAATGTGTTTTAGATATAAAGGGAACACATGGGATGCCACTGCTGAAGGCCAAGGCATTAAGGGGCTGGGCCACAGCTTTGGCCCCTGGCTTGAAATTTACATACAAGTAGTTTCTCTGCATTTCTATTTGCAAAATTAGTGGCCAGGCTTTAAAGAAATCACACTTGCTACATAAAATAGAATTTTGCATTTAAAGCAAGATTCACAAAAATTAAGTAATAAATGACAACAGAAACCTTAACTCCCCCCAAATCATACAAACGAAACCTATATTAAATGGAAATTGAGAAATACTCTCTGGAAATTCAGTTAACCAAAGAGTGAATAAAAGGAGAGAACACAATTAGGAGCTTGTTTTTAAATTACAATTTAAAAACGACACACTGTGCCCTAGACTCACAGCTACACAAAGAATGGCTCCATGAAATCGCAGATCCAGCATCACACTGGCGCTTGTTAGACCTGCAGAAATTTATGTTCATTTAAGACTAGTAAGTCATTTTCCTGCCGCGCTCAGGCAGAGGGCCGGGGCCGCGGGGAGAGGCGGAGCCCGGGAGCAGGGCCTGGGCGCCCCGCGGGGAGGTCGCGGCCCTGACCTTGACGGGGCTCGGGCCTGCTCGCCTCCCGCCGGAGATGAGGGAAGATGGCCGTGTCTGGGCTGAAGGCCGAGTGGAAGTTCCTGGCGTCCGTCTTCCCGAGAACCACGGGCGATTCCGCATGGTCAGCGGGAAGCTGGAGGAGCTGCACTGCCCGTTCCTGGTGCCGCCGCCGGCGCCGCGCTGCTCTCGCCCCACCGCAGCATCGCGGATCTGAGCCCTCTTCTTCAGAACGCGCTCCTCGGACCTCTCTCGGCGGCGGAACTGCACTATTATGACATCAAAATCCTGCAAGATTACGTTTTTTACACCACCGGGTCTGATCGGACAGCTCGCATAGCCGTCAGCATGGACGACACAGAAGACGCAACAAATCAGCATCTTTACAGCAGGGACGGGAACTCCAGGCCGCTCCAGATGGTAGAGAGGCGAGGCCTGGGTTCAGGGGCCAAGGGCCTCCTTCAGGGCTGCACCCTTTCACCAGCGGGATCCTGCCACCTGCTGGGCCCCTCCTGCCTCCCCACGGGTCTTCCTGGGAGAATCCCACCTGAGGCTGCAGTAACCTGCTTAGGGTGAGGCAGAGAGTATTGGCTGTTTATTGGCTTCTGGGCCTTTTCCTTTTCTTCATATTTGTAACTCATTTCTCTGTGTGTCATTTGTGGTGGTTTTAATATTTATCTTGTGAATGTTTACAATTTTTACATAATTTAATCTTTTTAACTCTTGTAGATATTTGTTTTCTACTCTGCTTCTTGCCCTTTAATATTTTTTTTTATCTCTTGCTGGTACTTAGTAAGTAGTGGAAATCTTTCTAGTAATCTCATTAAATTTGTATATTATTTGTATTTTTTAGATTTTTATGAATTATCTCTATGTAAGTGTCATACTATATGACAGTTTTATTCCTTAGAAATTATCTTTACACCTTTGATTTACTTTTTGCCATTTTATTTCCCTGACGACCCTCCAGTAGGAAGTTGAAGATAAATAGTGGCAGCCTCCTGATCCAGGCTTACTTCCAGGGAAGAAAGCTGTCAGTGGTCCTGTATTAGCTGTGTTGTTCGTTGTAGGTTCCCTTTGTTCTTGACCAGATTGAGGAAGTCACTTTTTGTTTGTTTATTTTTACTGATAGCACGTATTTTTTCACTAGATGCAGAATTCTATTAAATGCTTTTCAACATGTAATCTAACTGATCACGTGATTTCCTTTTTGTATTTTTCACCTGTTTAGATGACCTGGTAACATTAACAAATCTTATATTTTTAATTATCTCTTGCTTGTAGTTTATCTATTATATTTTCATACATGATTTCATTTATATTTCATAATACTTTGCTTAGCCTATTTGTATCTCTGTTTATGAAAGGGCTGCTTTTAAATCCTGGTCCACTTGCCTCATCATTGATGTTAATGTTAGTTTCACAAAAGAAATTTAAAAATATCTTCTGCTTATTTACACTTTGCATAGGTCTGGGAATTTTTGTTTGTTTCCTTAGAAGTTTGGAGTATGCCATGTTTAATTTGAACTTAGATTTCACTTTAAAATTGTGTTTCTGAAGGATTTTCAGAGTATAGAATAAAATGTTCAAGGACAACTTAAGAGAATCCAAAACAAACATGACAATGAGGGGGGATTTTGGACAACTGGCCTTTGTTCTGGTAAGTCAATGAAATTTTAAAGCAAATGTGCAAGATTAAATGACAGAAATGGGCTAAAATACAGATCAGTCATTAGTCCTGCTTTGTTCCTTGGACATGTCTGACATGTTGAAAAAGGGAAGTAATCATTCTTCATTAAACTGGGTAGAGGCCGGCGCCGTGGCTCAATAGGTTAATCCTCCACTGTGGCGCTGGCACCCCGGGTTCTAGTCTCAGTCGGGGCACCAGATTCTGTCCCAGTCACTCCTCTTCCTGTCCAGCTCTCTGCTGTAGCTCGGGAGTGCAGTGGAGGATGGCCCAAGTGCTTGGGCCCTGCACCCGCATGGGAGGCCAGGAGGGACACTTGGCTCCTGGCTTTGGATCAGCGTGCTGGCTGCAGCGGCCATTTGAGGGATGAACCAATGGAAAAAGAAGAGCTTTCTCTCTGTTTCTCTCTCTCTCACTGTACACTCTGCCTGTCAAAAATAAATAAATAAATAAACTGGATAGAAATGCACTGTTGAACAAAAATAAATATTCGTGAAATCATATAACCGTGATGCTCATAGAATGTTCTCATATAGGAAAAAGTAATGCTGTATTTTCATTATGAGATCTGTGATGATATGAGTCTTAAAAGTTAATAGAAAATGTGTACTATGAAAAAAACTATGCAGGTATATACATATTTTTGCACAAAATACATATCTTTTAATTCCATTTTTCTACAATCTCAATATTCCCTTGTGTATATATGCTAAGCAATCTCCTATGAATCCCATGTTGTTTTTGTACTACCCAGTATTCAGTGTGAGTCTTAACCTACTTGTTCTAAGGTTGTACATTATGACGAAAAAGAAATAAAACATCACATCTGCAGTTGTTAAATTTTGGACTTTTTTATTTTCAAAGCTTTACTTATTTATTTGAAAGGCAGAGTTGCAAACACAGAGAGAGATTTTTTCATCCACTAGTTCACTCCCTATATGGCCACAGTGCAGAGATGGGCTGATCTGAAGCCAGGAGCTAGAAGTTTCTTCCAGGTCTCCCATATGGGTGCAGGGGCCCAATTAGTTGGGCCGTCCTCCACTGCTTTCCAAGGCACATTTGCAGGGAGCTGGATGGGAAGAAGAGCACCCAAGACTCAAACCAGCACGCATGAGATTCCAACACTGTGGTGGTAGGTTTACCTGCTATGCCTCAGCACCAGCCCCCACATTTTGGACTTTTAAATCAGAAACTTCATGGATTGGAACTTAAAGATGCTGATCTTGCTTTCTCTCATAAATATTTGGCACTGATTACCAATAAACTCAGGGTGCCAAACTTCACTATTTGGATTCCTGTCTATGCTGATAAGCATCCACTGCCAGCTGTCTCTTTTATTTGAAATTTGGTTGTATTTAAACACAAAGTGACAGAAATACCAGCACTGCTGACACACATGCAATTTATGGTAAAATAAACAGTACTTAAACCTTCAGTTGCAACAGTCTGTAGTTTCTGTTTCATCCTGTAAATTTTCAAAGCAGCCAAAGCCAACAAGAATAAAATGAGGAACAGTAAGACTCAAAGACAATACTTAGCAATACTAGTAATGTCAATGATGTTAAAATTTTAGTTACGTGCCCTGCACAAATTAAGTTCTTTCACATTCTGACCCAAGAACATAGATCCCCAAAACTACCTTAATGTATGCTTAGAAACCTGAAAACAGATGTAGAAAAGTACTAATCTAAACCAACCCTCATTTGACCAGGGAAGACAGGAATCTACATATGCACACTGATTTAACACAATAACAGGGAAAGAAAGCCAAAGCATAACAGTCCAAATGAGCAAAACTCTGATTATTGAGATTTCACATAATAAACTTTTTAGCTGTTCTCATGGATAATCTGCACATACATAATTATCCTTCATTTTCATAGATTTCATTTTCCAAATGAGGGCAAAATAGTGTCAGTAAGCTCTTCGAAGGGCATTATAAAAGCTATTAGCCAACCTTTTATGTGAGTGTAATCTACACATTCATTTCTCCAAGCTGGGACAATGAAGATACTTAACTAGTGACTGATATGAATCAGGATTTTTTTTAATGGGCAGAGTGGACAGTGAGAGAGAGACAGAGATAAAGGTCTTCTTTCCATTGGTTCACCCCCCAAATGGCCGCCACGGCTGGTGCACTGCACTGACCCAAAGCCAGGAGCCAGGTGCTTCCTCCTGGTCTCCCATGCAGGTTCAGAGCCCAAGGCCCTGGACCATCCTCCACTACACTCCTGGGCCACAGCAGAGAGCTGGACTGGGAGAGGAGCAACCGGGAAAGAATTCAGTGTCCCAGCTGGGACCCAGGGTGCCGGCACCACAGGCAGAGGATTAGCATAGTGAGCCACGGCACCAGCCATGAATCAGGATTTCTAATACCCATTAAAAACACTTGAAGAGAATTACTTACCTAAACTATTTTTGAAAATCAAATTAGGTAAAACTCAAATGAAAAAGACTACTTTAAGCATGTCTCCACTCTCACACTATTCTAAACCTTCTACTCTGGTTTCAAAAATTATCTAAAAAATTTGTTGTCAAACACCATAAATACTAAGAATATAAATCAATGATATCAGAAATTTGGCTAGCTATATTGAGAATTTGAAAAATATTGAGAATAAAGAAAATACTGAGGGGGCAGCATATGGTGTGGTTACAGTAGTCTCATATGAGTCCTGTATATGATTCACATTCACAAATAGGTGTATATGCAAGCAAAGACCTAAAATCAACCTTAAATCTACATTTATGGCCATTGCCATGGCTCACTAGTCTAATCCTCCACCTGTAGCGCCAGTACCCTGGGTTCTAGTCTGGGTTGGGGCACCGGTTCTGTCCCAGTTACTCCTCTTCCAGTCCAGCTCTTTGCTGTGGCCTGAGAAGGCAGTGGATGATGGCCCAAGTGCTTTGGCCCTGCACCTGCATGGGAGACCAGGAGGAAGCACCTGGCTCCTGGCTTTGGATTGGCACAGCACGGCGGCTGTGGTGGCCACTTGGGGGGTGAACCAATGGAAAGAAGACTTTTATCTCTCTCTGTCTCTCTCTGTCTAAATCTGCCTGTCAAAAAAAATCTACATTTATTTCTTCTCCGACATGTAGTTTGCTTATGTTTTTAATCTTATTTAAAATATTTTTAGACATATTCATTTTATTACTTGTCTGATGCTACATTCTTAATTTATTACCTATGATTCTCACTGCACTCAAATTTTCAGATCAACTTTTTAGCAGTTGTTATTGCCTTTTCATTCAAGTTAGCTGAAAACATCACTATAAACTCCACACGTAACTTTTTCCCATCATTTATGGTTTCTGGTCTTGAGGGTTTTGCTGGTTTTTTTTTTTAAATACCTTAGATTTTATTATACCATCCAGAATTTTTATTTTGTTTGAATTTCCATTGTTTTTCAAATAAAGTGTTTTTAATTTTATTTGCTTTTCTTTTTTTTTTATTTGACAGGTAGAGTTATAGACAGTGAGAGAGAGAGAGAGACAGAGAGAAAGGTCTTCCTTCCGTTGGTTCACTCCCCAAATGGCTGCAATGGCTGGCGCTGCACCTATCTGAAGCCAGGAGCCAGGTGCTTCTTCCTGGTCTCCCATGCGGGTGCAGGGGCCCAAACACTTGTGCCATCCTCCACTGCCTTCCTGGGCCACAGCAGAGAGCTGGACTGGAAGAGGGGCAGCCGGGACTAAACCCCGGTGCCCATATGGGATACCGGTGCCACAGGTGGAGGATTAACCAAGTGAACCACAGCGCTGGCCCCTAACTTTATTTGTTTTTCAAAGAAAGAGTTTTACATTTTTTTCAAAGTGTTTTTCACTTTATTTGAAAGCCACAGACAGTAGAGACAGAGAGATCTCCTATCAGCTGGTTCACTACTTCAA